GAGCCATGCCTTGGAGGGTTTGACAGGTCGGCCTAATTGGTCTCTCCCAAGCCATGGCACCGACTGTCCCACTAACGAGGAAAGATGGGCCAGCTCGGGGCCATCTACATGACTTGGATTAGTGGACAAGGCCACACAAAGGCCCAGGCCAGGGAGTTCTTGCACACTGCTCCTTCCGGAGCAAGGCTGGGTCTGACTGGCAGTGTGGCTCTTGGTTGCCCTCTGCAGGGACAAAAGGAAGCCTTGTCTGCTTGGGGAAAAGACTCCAGAATACTGCAGGCTCTGGAAAGAGGGATAGCTGGTGGCCGTGACTTTCAAGGCACGTCTGGCTCTTTACGGGCCTGTCCACGGTGGGTGATTTACTGAGCAGGCAGTATTTCCAGGAACCAGGCTCTGAGCTGTAGATTCACAGGTATTTGCTGACTTGAGGAAATGGAGTAACTTCCTGAGGCCAAGAGGAGAATGAGGAAGATTATTTTTCCCTTCCCCCTTCTTTGGACAGCTACGACTTTTGCGAGGAAGATAGTGTTTTAAGTGAAACAAAATGAAAATAAAACAACACACACACGTCTGTTTTTATGCATTCAGGACCGATGTCAGTGGAACTAATGAAAAGCACATTGGTCAAGCCAACGTAGAAAATCAATTCCCAAGCTCTTTTTCATTTGGGTTTTTGGTAGCACACTGTTCTCTTCTATTAGGAGAAGGTCTCAAAGTGATCTTCAAGTGAGTTGTCCTTTAGAGAGGAAGTGGAGACACTGAACACTCTTACTCTAGGTCACACGGGGGGACAAAAAGTGACTTCGATCCTCCAACGGATGCTTTCTGTGGCCGTCAGGTTCAAGGCTGACGTCCGAAAGCTTTCATGATTCTCTTCCGCGAGACTCACTTCGGGTATCAGAAGTCAGATGAACGACGAGGCGCGCGCGTTATACGTGCATCCGTCAGTTAGTACTGACCAGCTCTTGGCGTAGTTACGAGTTCACAGTGAGCCAGCGCTTTGTGACTTCTTTCAGCAAGGCCTGAAACTACTAAACCTGACCGTGTACAGAGCCAAGCACAGATCCAGGAGGGTAGTCCCTGACTCAGAGCTAACGGACACAGACCTTCTCGATGTGTTTGCATGATCGAGTCTTTTATTTAAAAAACTAAAAATTATTTTTTAGGTAGTTTTTCAGTTCATGTAAAGAATTATTCATTTTATTTATCATTGTTATTTGTAAAATTTGCCACAGGGCACGTGCACTCACCAGAGCTTCCTCTTATTTGTTTTCTACTGTGTCCACTACCTTGGTTCTCAACAGCCTTACCTCACGTCAGCATCACCGGGGTTATTTTCTCACTTGTCACGGAAACGACTTGATAAGAGTATTAACACTTCTTACACGTCTGGTCTAATGGCTGCAAGAACTGAATCAGGTGACCTGCTAAGATTTCTCTCTCTTTTAAAGTCCCCCGTATATGTACTATGCATGTATTTATAAACGTGTATGAAACAGTGCTATTGAACACATACATGTTCCTATCATGTCACTTCAATGATCATTTTCTTTTCTCCAAGAAGTTAGTGTAACTCTATACTGGATTAGGGAAGCTTCTGGGCTAGCCCGTGTCTGAATCCGCTTCTTTTTTCATCAACTTCAGAACAGTACATGGCTGTCTTCCTGTTCCAGACTGTCCCAAACTAACCAACGTAAGACATACTACTTGGTAACAAAAGCTGACCTATAAATGACAGAGTGCTCTTGTCCTGTAAGCCTGACATTTTTGAAATTTAAATTTATAAATGACATCCTCAATATTCTATTTAAATCGCCCTTGCCGTTTTCTGTTTCTAATTACTAATGTTTCAGAAATTTAAAAATTCTAGAACTATCACTCTGTGTTTCTACAAGTCTTCTAGTGGCCTTTTCTGTCTCCTTAGGGTCTTGCTCTCTTCTTGGAGTTTTGCTAGAAGTTTCGTTGTCATAGAACCCTGCAGTTTTCCTTCATGAAAACCTCACATTGGTAATCGTGTGCTTCCATGTGCAATCATTTCTTTTTTTTAAAAAAAAATGTGTCTTTCAAGAATTAGGCTGTCAGTTCTAGGCAGATCTGTGTTGTACGATATTTCTTTATCCCCAGAGACCAGCACCGGCCTGCCACATAGTAGGTTTTTAATACAGACTTAGTGATAAATGACTGAGAGACATTCCAAAGCTGATCTCTCCTCAGCGGAGTACTTTTGTTTCTCCTCACAGGACCACTTTTGTTTACATGAGACTCTAGTGAAAGCTCGCTGGGAGAAAGGGCTGCATGGCGAAGCATAAGGGCTATATTTTCTCTCCATCGCATTTGGTTTCTTCTGCTACATGATAGGAACATAATTGAAGCAAGCATGTGGCTCTGAATACAAAGCCTATAAA